CTGTACTGTAGTGTACTGTGCTGTACTGTAGTGTACTGTGCTGTACTGTAGTGTACTGTGCTGTACTGTAGTGTACTGTGCTGTACTCCATTATCTCCTCTCCAGTACGTCCATCGGTTCAGTACTACTGTCTACTCTTCCTCTTTGCAACATTTACTTAACGGTGTACTGTGTGCCACCTGCTGTACACCATGAATACTACACCGTGTACTTACGCTGCAGTCACATGTGGTGCAGGAGTCTTTTTTCCAGCGTTCTCCGTCCGTCCGGTCGTGTCCCTCACTGTCAGTGCAGTCCGTTTTGCTCAGACGGGCTTCAAGTCTTTTAATCTGCAGCAACAGAACGACAGGGACGACACTCAGGGTCGGAGGTCAAACTGCTAGGACCACAAGCATCAACCTTTATGGTTTGTTTTTAACGATTCAATATTAGGGATGTCCGATATTAACTTTGTGCCGATGTTCCGAAATTGTCCAAACACTAAATGTCCGATTCCGATATAGCGGCGGAGTGGTGCCCTGGTGGTTAAAGAAGTTAGGTGCAGCCTGCTCACTAAGGTGACGGTTTTAAAACTGTGTTTCTGAATCATTTTCTGCCATGCCCCCCCTAGTGGACAGAAGTGTTTTCATCACCGGCCAGCCCATATTATCGGACATCCCAATTCAATATGTTTTTAAAAACAGACATAATAGCTGTCTGTTGTGGGGGGGTCGGAGGGTGGGGTGCTTTCGTAAACTTGGGATGGTCTTCTGCATATCTGAGACAAAATCCTGGAAGTCGTTTACCGAGGGTTCAGTGCTTTTCTTAGAGGTCAGAGTGACATTGACTGGACTGGAGGGTTGGTCCACTGGGCTGCTGCAGACACACACACACACACACACACACACACACTCTGTGTTAAATACTGTATGATCACATGCTGCTACAGCAGCTCAAGAAGAGTGGGACTGTTACCTGTCCTGGACGCTGCCGTCAGGTTTGTCCTCCTGGTAGCTGTGATCAGCTGATCTGCGTCCTCTGAAGTGGTAGGACAGAGCGTTGAACTGACCTTTGGTTCTGCAGTCTGGTGGGACAAACATAACAATGAAAAGATGAATGTTCTCCGTTTGAAGGTGTGGTCTGTCCCCGCGGTGACCCCGCGGTGACCCCGCGGTGACCCCGCGGTGACCTTAAGACAGTCGACGTCAAAGAAGAGAACCACGTCTAGTGTTTAGATGAGAATGGTTCTGTCCAGTAAAACTGTAAACATTCAGCAGCCAATCAGAAAGAGGCTGACAACGAGAGGGTGACCTTTGACCTCAACTCTCAACTGTCTCGTGTACAGAGTAAAAACCTTTAGCTTCATGTTACCGTGTACGACGTCTCTGGAAAAACATTTGGGAAAAAAAACTAAAAACGTTCCAATAAAAACGTTGTCCACGAAGTTAAAGATAAAAAGTGACTGACAGCCGGCCCGACTGACCCCGGGTCAGCTCCAGTCTGGTCTGGAGCTGCTGAGTGAACGCCCCATAACTGTTTCAGAACACACTCCTCTGACGGTGACGTCACTGAGCCTGGAGGTCCACGACCAGCCCGCCTGATTGACATCTGGAACCGATTTGTGTAAAAAACCGATCCTGAGATGACGACATCGACTTGAATTTGAACCAAACATGAAAACATGTCGTAAACACGCCGGCTAAAAAAAAGTCACTAAACAGTAATTATTTAGTGACGAGAACGCTCTGGCCTCAGTGTGTGTGTGTGTGTGTGTGTGTGTGTGTATACATATACATGTATATATGCATGAATACATACAGTACATACGCATATGTATGTGTATATATTATATATGTGTATATTTACGCTGTGCGTGTGTAAAGTAAACTGCAGTGATGTCACTGGGCGGCGCTCACCTTCGCAGCAGTCCTGCCACATACGCAGGTCAATCTGCGGGACGTCGTCACAGCTGCCGTAGCCGTGGGGCAGCTCTGCCACTCTGAAGACGTCGGCCTGGACGCGAGTGATGTTGTCTCCGTTGTCACACAGCACCCTCGTCAAGGAGGCCTGCTTCAACTGGGTCAGCTGGGCCGGGGTGAACACACCTGGGTTTTCATACCAGAATCTGGAAAGGAAATGATTAAAAAAAAAAGTAGATAGCTGCACACTCTGAGTCTGGATCTGACGGAGATCTGATCTGTTTAGATCTGTTGCTGTATATTGGAGGGGCGAATGTGGGGGGGGTGGGGGGGATGGGGGGGCAGAACCTTCTGCTGAACTCAATCATCTCGGCAGGTTCCCATTTAATTTTGTCTTTTTTATAAACCACTGTATGAGCTGCTGCCACCTAGTGACTGGAGGATTGATTATTGCTCAAGCATTATGGTATCTCCCCCCCGCGACACCTAGAGACACAATAAATGTGTGTGAGGTCCGGTGTGTGTGTGTTGTACACTGTACCTGTCACCGTCCCGCAGACGTTTGAACTGAGCCGCCAGCAGGCACATGAGGGTGGGCCCCAGTCTGCTGCCGGGGACCAGGTCTTCAGCCATGAGGGCGGGGAACAGATCGACGTTCAGTGGAGTGCCATAAAGTCTGACAACAGGAAACAAACAGAATGTGTCATGGTTAGGGATGTCCGATAATATCGACCCCGTATTAGCATATTGTGTAACATCTGTAAGAATCGTTATCGGTATTTCCTCCGATAATGAAAACCCGATAACCCGATGCCTGGGTTGTGTTCTTTTAGGGTTTTTAGACGTTTACCACAGTTTTTTGGGGGGGGGGGGGAAACACGCTGCGAAATA